TCAGCAAAGAGTCCAATTTTAATGACTTGCCATAAAAGACCCAACACCAGGTAAGGTTTCCCTTCTTTTAAGTCTTCAGCTCCAATGTTAACAACATGGCACCCAATGGCTGAAGCAGAGTTCAGGGCCAGGTTCAGATTTTCCTGGGGAAAGAAGAGAACTTCTGCATGATGCAGTAACTGGAGAACTGAGGATACAGGAAGGGAGGACAGCCAAAACTAGTGAAATATGCAAGTAGCTTCACTGTGAAGGCATTTATGTACATAGAATCACAGAATTATAGAAACATTGAATCACAGAAACATAGAATCACAGAATGGGTTGCGTTGGAAGGGACCTTCAAAGGTGACCTAGTCCAACCCCTCTGCAATCTTCAGCTAGATCAGGTTGTCCAGAATCACATCCAACATGGCCTTGAATGTCTCAGGGATGGGGTAGCCACCACCTCTCTGGACAAGCTGTGCCAGTGTTTTACCACACTTCTATGTTCCTTCTATTTAGTCTAAATGTACACTCTTTTAATTTAAAACCGTTACCTTTGTCCTATAACAACAGGCTCTGCTAAAAAGCTTGTCCCCATCTTCTTTATAAGCCCCCTTTAAGTACTGAAAGTTTTGGGTTCCGACACGAAGATGGAAGAGACCTCTTTGGCAAAGGTGAAAGAGACCATGTCGCAAGGCATTGGAGCTCCGAGCATACATCTGTATTCAGAGAGATGCCTGGGCTCAGTCCTGGTTATCAAAGCCAGGCTCTCCTTACAGCTAATGCACAAGCACATGTTCAAGTGCAGACTTAGTTTTAGCATGGGGCCAGCTATCCACCTCTCAGTCTTGCACACACGGAGATATGAGGAAGCTACAACCCAATCAACCATCAGATATTCCAGCACTGTCTCTCTTTAAGCACCATGCAAAGACCTAATACCCAAGATAGAAACAAATTGCTAGCTAACAATGTTTATAAAAAGCATACGTCATAGGAATCAGTATGGATGAACCTGTTGGGATTTTAACCTTGACATACAGTCAAGGTCAGAACTGATCATAGAATCATAGAAACATAGAATAGTTAGGGTTGGAAAGGACCTTAAGATCATCTAGTTCCAACCCCCCTGCCATGAGCAGGGACACCACACACTAAACTATGTCGCCCAAGCTCTGTCCAACCTGGCCTTGAACAGCCCCAAGCGTTGGAGCATTCACAACTTCCTTGGGCAACCCATTCCAGTGCCTCACCACCCTCACCGTGAAGAACTTCTTCCTTATATCTAACCTAAACTTACCCAGTTTAAGTTTAAAGCCATTACCCCTTGTCCTACCACTAGAGTCCCTAATGAAGAGTCCCTCCCCAGCATCCTTGTAGGCCCAAGTCTGGATATTTTCTTTTTGAATTTTGGAGCATGGAGTCCTGGTTTGGGAGTGTTCAGTGGAAGCAGAGGGATTCTGTCATTCACAGTGAGGGGCAGAAAGAAAGTGATGTTTCAGGAACATTATGTTCCTTTGCCACTTACTTCCCGTTTATAAAAAAAGGTACAAAAAAATCTGGTCTGCACTGTTCCAAAAGGTGACTTGGTAAACACAGGGCACATAGAGCAGGCAAAGCAGCCTGGAAAATACAATTTATCACACAGATCTGCAATTTTTCACATGAATTTCATCACCACTGGTATGACACAGATTTGATTAGATACAAAATGCAGAGAGAGACATACTGTAAATTCTCATAAGCTAGAAATATTGGAGCATTTCCAATTAATTACCTTTTCTCCACCAGACAGCTTTAAAAGGGTTAAGTTAAAGTGAAAGCTATATTGATCAGATCATTTCTATGTGTGACAGGGATCGATCTGAGCTGCATTACTAAGCTATGCTGCTGACCAAAACGATTAGAACTGAAGAATGTGGTATACAGCATAAAAATCCAATTTAATGGCTTCTGAGCTTATTTGAGCCTGGCTAATGTTCCATCAAATCAGAGTAGCTGAGGGCTAAACTGGGTTAGGTTCGTATCTATTCCATATATCTATTTAAATTCTGTATACAGATCTGTAGGTGCTGTTCATATAAAAATATTTCTCTACATACTGCTGTGTGAACTGGTAAACATTACACATTGGGTTAACTGCAAATACAAACACAGTTTGTTTAGTCAGATTGCTCATCTGTTTGGAAAGAAATGGAAATATAAATCTTTATGGTTTTAGGATGTGGACCTGAGAATCTCACTTAGCCACAAAAAACTTCGATTGTGTTGGGCAGGACCACGGTATCTCCAGCCTTTACACTAAGTGTCAAAGCATCCTAAGGGGAAAAGCAAAGAATCTTGTTGTATTTTAGTACCTGTATTGTGAAGGGTGTGAGTTTCTTTTTGTTGATTGTTCTCTCATCAATGGTATCTGGCACTGAGAAATTGATCATCTTACTGGAAATAAAAGAAGAAACAACAAGAAATACACTACCAGATATGTGCACACAAAATACAGGTACAGCTTTTGTCACTATGCTGTATGACAAGGCAAAGAGTTGGAGTGTTACTGAACAAATATAGATAGCCCCTGTTTTCACAGGTACACACAGGCATATGTGCGAGGAATTCTTCTGGGTCACATGCAGATTGTACTATAGGTGTGAGGCAAAGAATGCCACAAGGTGAAGTTGTGTGAGACGTTTATTGTGCAGAAAATTTCTGTGAAAGCACTCACTATCTTGTGCTGCTTTGTGTGAAACCCCAAAAATCCTTGGACAAAAATAAAACCAAGTAACTCCTCAAATTTTGCTGAATTCATCTTACTGCAAGGGCCCGTAGTCAAGGAAAAATTCTGATTTAACATGAAAGAAGCTTTATATTTTTGAAGATAAAAGAAGCAAAACCCCCTAGCATTATTAAGGCCCTGAATCTGCAAAGATTCATGACCTTAACGTAAGGTCAGCAGCTTTCATTAAAGCAGAGATGTGAGTTTCTGCAGACTCATGGTTTCCAGTTGTGAGAAAGATAAGTATTATTTACCAAAGCACTATGCCATCACCAACCGCCTGGAAGAGGTCATCTGTTTCTGGATTCATTGGGACCACATGCTTACAATCAGGGTCCTTCTCAAGGGCTTTATTAATCCAGTTGACAAAGGCATACTTTTCTTCCTCTGTGGACACAACATCAAATCCATCAGTTTGCTGTGCAATACCTCTACCATCATTTTATTTACAAAGGCAGAACTTCTAGGGGAGAAGACTCACCCACCAGTGTGACTGGAGGAGTCTGTTAATCAGTCAAGCTGATCAACAAACTCCTACAAGGGAAGAATGCTCTGAGGAGACAGGCAAATGAACTGAAAGCAGCAATGAGCCTGAGCTGGTTAATAACTTCTTCTATGCTCCCTCCCACTGACTGGGGTTGCCTGGTGTCATGAGAAGAGGTATATTATAGAGATTGGTAATGAAGTTCACATGATTCAACTGTATGTTGCAGTTGCTATGCTCTCCTAAATGTAATTTGTACTTGCCCCATAATTTGAATGCATTGTTGTATCACTCTGCTAAATCAAAATCTCACGTAACTTCAAATAAGTTTAAATAGTGAATTCTGTATTGTACATTACACCCTCCATATGCTAAATATCTAGAAAAGGATTGGCCAGGATTGGACTCTCCCAAAGAGTATTCAGAGGGTAGTGAGCAAATGTTTCCTATAGTCCAACAGGGCTACCAGCAGTCCGTCCAACAGCTACCCTGTACCAGCAGCACTTACAGGGCCTCCAGTAACTCAGAGGTGTCCTCTGTGCTCACATGGGTGGAGACCTTGGAAGCATCTGTGATGGTGTGCTCCCCTCACCCCCAACCTGACCTTTATTTCCTCTCTATAACTCTGCTCGAGAGATAACCGTCAGAGGTAGTGGTAATGGGTCGTGATCATAGAATCATAGAATACTTAGGGTTGGAAAGGACCTTAAGGTCATCTAGTTCCAACCCCCCTGCCATGAGCAGGGACACCACACACTAAACTATGTTGCCCAAGGCTCTGTCCAACCTGGCCTTGAACACCGCCAGGGATGGAGCATTCACAACTTCCTTGGGCAACCTATTCCAGTGCCTCAGCACCCTCACTGTGAAGAACTTCTTCCTCATATCTAACCTAAACTTCTCCTGTTTAAGTTTGAAGCCATTACCCCTTGTCCTACCACTAGAGTCCCTAACGAAGAGTCCCTCCCCAGCATCCTTGTAGGCCCCCTTCAGATACTGGAAGGCTGCTACAAGGTCTCCACGCAGCCTTCTCTTCTCCAGAATGAACAGCCCCAGCTTTCTCAGCCTATCTAAGGTGATGGCCATATCAGATGCAAAGTGGATTGAGAGGAGAGAGGTAACAACACAATAGCCAAGGGTTATCTGAATAATGGGCATCACCACCAAAACATACGTGTTCCTAGTTGCTGTCAGTGTAGGACAGCTGTACCCACCTGAGTAAGAGTGTTGTGTGCCAGCACTGGACTGCTCGGATGTCCCACCGATAGCACAGATCCCCTCCTTCTTGTTGATTTGCTTTCGGAACGACTTAGCAACATCGTCACTCTTCAAGTTTTGGAAAATCTTTCAAGCACGAGAGACAATTTTAAAATTTCAGAGAATTAAACCAAGCTAAACCAGTGAGCTCTTGGGCCATGAGAAACGTCTTCTCTGCTTCGTACATAGGAAAGCACAGCTTGTGTATTATTCAGTGGGTTTTTGTGTAAAATCTGTGTATTTGCCATGGCAGAACAGGATCATACACAACTTCTATGTTCTATGTGAACAAAGATCAGCTAAGTAACAGAAATGTATATGGTATGAAACCATGGAGCTAAAATATAGAGGAGAAGGGCCTTTAACAGTTTTGGTTTGAAGAAAGGAGAAGTAAAAATCTATTTCTCCATCCCAAAGAAAATTACACTATTTAGGATTTGCTTTTGCCCCAGTTCAGGCCAGAAAAAGAATAAAAAATGCCCCATAAATATTTCAGTTTCAATCTGATGAAGGTTTTTGTAACCATTTAGCCAGAACATAAACCTTTTGTTTACCTCATGACTGTAAAACTTTATCTGGCTGAATCAACCAAACTGAAAGATATTAAGCATATTCAATACGCAGCTGCATTCATGTAACTTGTCCCAATTAATTGACAGATTTCTAGCTGGGTTACCTCTTGCTTTCATCTTTTCCAGTGAGGGGACTCCTTGGATAAGCTAGGTGCCCATGAGACCCTGTGCTTGTGCCTCTGATGTGCCCTAGGGACCATCTTGAGTATCCTGCGTGGCATCTTACTTACTGAAATAAATTCATCAAAACTGATCCTGCCATCCCCCGTGGTTGTCAAATTCTGAATGAGTTCTCTGGCTTTATATCCTGGGAGAGGGAGACTGGCTGCCTTCAACACGTCTGTTAAATCATTGGCGTGGATGAAGCCATTCCCACTGACATCTGCAAAGATTAAAGCAAACATTTTGATTCTGCGTCAGCCCTCTGAAATGTACAAACAAAAAGGCTGTTTTTTTTATTTTACCTGGGGAAGGGTATACAAAGATTTGCCATCCTGAAATCCAGTATTTTCAACCATTGTTCTGTCATTCACACCCAAGAAAAGATTACTATCACCATTTAACAAACAAAAACCCACAGTGATGAATTTGTATGTTTTAGACATATAGTAATACCTTAACAAAGCTAGGTTTAGATACATGTAATTACTTTCCAAGGTTACATATAGACAAACATGATTTATAGAGGGAGTATCCTGTCTACAAAACAACTAAAGAAAATGGAACTCGTGCTGTACAGAGTTACACCTTACGTGTGCATATATTCATAGGTATAACTTATGATTTTGGCCTGTTTCCAGTATCATCAGAAGTCATGAGTTTAGAGGCTTGGAACTGTTTATGGTCATCCTTAAAATAGAAACTTTTGTGTTTCTCTGTGATGGTGCTGAACAGATAATTCTGCAGAGCCTGTTGCAAGATCTGGGGTAGGATTTTATGAGAAGATCACCAAGACAGGTTAAATTGTCCTTTCTTTGCCAGTTTGTGTAAATCTCCACAGATAGAAAACTGAATCTATTGCGTGGAGACTTTTTGTTAAAAAGCTATAGTTATGTACATGATTATGTACATATATAGGTTTTTATGCTTACATATTTTTATTTGCGTTTTATATATCTGTGTGTTTCTTGTTCTGCAGATTCTTTCCCCCCAGCCCAGAGGCTGAGGTGATTTCAAAGTATGTGTTAATTTCCTGTGTGGTAAGTTGCAGTGTGAGTTGCTCTTTGCATACTGCAAAAAGGCACTTGTCTCTCAGCATCAGTAGCATGGATTAATGCAGATTGCAAAGAGCATCCTATCCATTTCTGAAGTCATACAACAAAAGGGTCTGGACTTGGAGAAGGAAATGACTGGGAGAGGAATGAAAGTTCTCTTCTAGTATGTGCCTTGTCAGTGCATTGGGTGTATGGGGCACATGGTGACCACATGTTTAAGATTGCTAGCCTGGACTACTGTGTGCTCAGAAATCAAACAACCATCACCTGCAACAGCAAGGACAACTGATTAACACATAATCCAGCGAGGCTGACAGATCTGCTAATAAAAGTTAAGTGAGCTGTGAGAGGTACAAGGACCTTTTCTTAGAATTTAGGTAGACAGCGATGGGTCTGCATGACTTTAAAGGAGACAAATCAGATGAGATCTTTAAAGGCTTGGAAAGGAAATACACACTTTAAAAATACATGTGGTTTGAAAGGTCATAGTAAAGGGATTACAAATTTTGTGGCCATTCGCACATTTGTCCTCCCCAGACTCTCCCTCCCCACAGGGAGTAAGCAATTTCCATTAAAATAAAAACTTTTTGCTTTCCAAATACTTAGTCAGGAATAAACAAAATTCTCAGGAAAACACATGCAAGTATTTCCAACATGGTTTTCTGTGCAGCTTTGGAGGTTATTTCATAAGCCCTGACACTCGTTGCCCTGCCAGCTCTCTCTGGTAAGAAGCCACTGCTCTGCAGCATGCTGATGTGGTTTCACCTAGGAGGCCTGCAGTGGCAGGAAAAGGACTTTCTGTGGTCTCTGTGATACAGCAGATCAGCATTGGAGTGACCGACCATTTGTTCATGGCCAGTTAGTACAAGAGAAAAGAGCTTGCCATGGCTTTGCACTTCTGCAGTGTTTCCTGTTTGCTGTACCCACCGACTTTGCTGAAAGCCTCTTGTAGCTCTGCCATCTCCTCCTCCGAGAAGTGTGCAGTTGACGCCATTTCTTATTTCTCTGAGTGGCAGGTCTGCAAGAAGAAAGCACTTGGTTTGGTTTGGTGCCTTTTGGGGTTTGTAGTTGTGATGAAAAAGAGGGGGTTTCAATTGGATTTTCTAAGTCTTGGAGCAGCACCTTTCATGTCTCATGGGGAAAGCAGACAAAATCATGCTCATTCATGTTATTCCCCTTTTGAAAACACAGTTCATCTTGTGCTTCTTCAGCAGTGCTGGCAAAGAAGCAGCAGCCCTGTCTGCCCCCAGGGCTCTGGGCTGAAGCCATCCAGAGCCTTGGGGGATATTTGCACCACCTACCTTTGGGTACCTAATGAGAAGCTGGTTACCTTTATGGGATGGATGGACAGACGGATAGACGGACGGACGGAGGGACGGATGGATGGATGGATGGATGGAAGGAGAGAAGCTCCTTCGCAAGGTGTTCAGAGCAACCAGGTCAGGCTTCCTTGAGGGCTACTTCTCTTCCTGGCTATGGGGAGCATTTAGGGACTTGCCCTTCAAGGTGCCTAAGTTAGTGCCTGAGGTTGTATGGCACTTTAGGAATAGGTGACTGGAAGTTTTCCTGCCTTTCGTCTCATCGAAGATATAAAGCAGGAGGAAGAATTAGACTTTCCCTTTCTACACACCTTTCTTAATAAACAGAAGCGGAAAGTTTACACCCATCCATCAAATTATTTAATACACTTCCAGAAAATGCACATTATATTCCTCAGCTTTTTCATGCACCTACTCTCCCTTGCACCTATTCATGAGGAAACTGTTCATGAGATGATCTATTATTCTATATTTGTGAGAATGACTCTAGTGTCCTGTGTCTCTTTAAGAATTAATTAACCAAGCAGTAATTTAAATAGAATAGAATGGAAACCTGAGTTGGTCCTGGAAAGTGGTTGCTGTAGCTACAGTGTTCAAATGAGGAAAAACAAATACCTGAAATACCTCATTCCTAGACTAAAACCAGAATTGCATCCTGAAGGCTTGGATTCCAAACTTTATAGAAAGATATACAGGGATAATGTAAAAAATTACAGATGTGCTCTAGCTCTCTACAGAGACACAGAGTTGTATACAGCCTATCTGGGCTTCAGATTTAATGCTTTCCTGAACTCACACTTGATACAATTGACTCACCGTACCTGTGAAAACCTCTACGGACATGGCTTTGAAACAGCCCACAGACAATCATCTCATGTGTTTAGCTTTTTGTCTACTGCCACCCTGCAGTATCATGTACCCTTTTTTCTGCCTCATCACTGTGGTTTTAGGGTGAGGACAGCTTCCAGAGGAAAATCTGTTCATTCACTTGAACCTTCCTAAGTAGAGAAATGCAGTATAATCCATAATGCAGTTGCTCTTGGAGCAACTAATATAATACTACAAGTGGTTGTAACCACCATACTTTCAAGGCTTACCTGTAAAAATCCCTGCAATCCACTAACAATGTGGGTAATGTATACTAGGGTAAAATTAGATCCATAGTCATAGAATCATAGAATCATAGAAT